TGAACCGACATGGGACGAGGTTATTGTGGCAAGGAGGGCGGCGAAGGAGCGGCAACTGGTTAAGGATGTGACGGTGCAGAAGAATCTTCAGAGAGAGCATCAAAGCGGAAGGCAAAAGAACAGGAGGATGACAACGAAGCTGCAAATGAGGAGCCAAACGACGAGAAGGCAAGGGAATTGCAGAAGAGGAGGAAGAAGGGCAAGGCCCCAGTGGTGGTAGTTGACAGTGGCGCTGAGGACGAGGAGGGGGTTGATGTGCGGGAAATTATGGCCCTCGAATTAGACATTTACTGAGCGGAGCTGTATCCGAAATGTAGATGAGGTTGTAGTATGTATCTAGTTAGGGACTACTAATTAGTATCGGTAGGAGTCCTATCTTAAGTAGATTTAAGTGTACTGTGAAAATTCAAATGCTCTAATCTGAGTGTACGATGCAATGTACTAAGACTTAACATGCAATAAAAGGCGACCACTCATTTTCCGGTGAGTATGGTCTTGTTGCGTGCCACTCCGATGGGTACTATCTTCCATGTGTTACGTTCTTCCAGCGCCTTTAACTCTCTGTCCATGGCTTTGCGCAAATTTTCCATGTGCTCCCCCCCAAGAGCCTGCTGAAACGTAGTAGGCTCCCTTGGCGGCGATGCTCCGTGGACGGCGGTGATGAGTCTGAGTATCTGAAGTCGAGTCTGTGAGAGCCGGGGGAGATTTGAGTCCTCGGGATAAACTGCTTCGTCTCCCGCTTCTGGGTCAGGTAAGGAGTGGGTCCTATGTGTTTTGAAATGTCAGTGTTGACCGGCTGGGGTAAAACGAAACCGTTGTCGGCGAAGTCAAAGTAGACTTCGGCATTGATGCTTTCGCGAGGGTTGTTGTCGTCCATTAGTACGTCGACTAAACAGTAAGGAAGAGTTCCCGCTTCTTCCAATGCTCCATCCACGTTTTGCTCGTCCTAGTCAGCTTCATCTGCTACCGAGGCGAAGGCTCGGTTGCCATTGAAGCCACTTGCAAGGTCTCAGTTTGCTGCCAGGTGGTCCAGGTATGTTAGTAGGGAGGTGAGTCGTTCGTAGAAAATGACATCACGTGCTGCCACTGTTTCCTTTGTGTGGACGTCGAAAATCTTCCACGCGTTGTAGTGTTTTTCGATGCCCAGGTGTAGTCCCCATTGTGCGCGTTGGGAGAATCGGCCGGCTCGTGCAGTTGGGGGTCGGTACTGTACCATGCAGCCAAATACTCGTAACATTTTTGTGCTGTCCAATTCTCCTGTCCACAGCAGATGCGGTGATGCGTTGTTCGGGAGCGATGATGACGAGAGCAATTTGTGCAGCAGCACAGCATGGTCCATTGCCTCGGGCCACTGGTGGTTAAGTAGCCGCATGCCACATAGCAGCTTGGTGTTCTGGAGGGTCTTGTTAATTCTTTCTGCCACACCTTGTTGTTGATGGGCGTAGGGAGAGAGATGAGTCGCTTGATGCCTCTCTCTGCCAGGTACTGCTTGAATCTCTGTGACTAATATTCCCCTCCCCCGTCTGACTAAAAAAATTTCAGCTTCACTCCTGATTCCCGTTCTGCTACTGGAAGCCAGGCGATGAAGGCTTCGAAGGCCATGTCGCGACTCGGAAGGTTGAGGTGCCAGACGTATCGGGTGGCAGTGTCGATGAACGTGATGACGTAGTTGTATGTTCCTTGTCCGCTTTCGCGAGCGTACAGTATGTCGCTGTAGACTTTCTCCAGTGGTGCGTATGCTGGTGCGCTCGGGTTGTGGTGAGAAACGAACAGCTGATAAAGTAAGTCGGCTTCAGGGCAGGTAAAACATGTTCCGCGAACACGTTGAAATTCTCTGCTATCGGGTAAAAGTAGTGAATCCTTGTCGAGAACCCCTTCTCTTATCGTATTGTTCAGTATCGTGTTGCTCGGGTGTCCCATCCTTGAATGCAATGTTGATTCACTGGCGCGATGTTGAGGTGATCGTCTGTACAGGTTGGAGTTGGAGTAAAAACTCGTGGTGATGTTGGCGCTTCTGTGGACTTCGCGTAGAACGGGAGTTAACTGCTGGGCTGGAGTCGGTGGATAGTCGTCAAAGGGGCTGGTGTTGTTGAAGGACCGACGATTGGTGTCGTTATTGGTATTGTCTCAGCTCCTACCGTCTTTGACATTTGCAGGATAACATTAGTCTCTCTAGATTGAAGTTGACTACCCCTTGTCTTCGTGTGCGCATGTTATGATGTTGGCGATGGCGATTATGACTTTGCGGTTAAGGCGTTGTTCTCGTTGAACGAAACGGCCCGAAGAGCACATGTGCTGTCCGTAGCAGCTGTCCAAGAACCAAGTATCGTTCCCGGACGGTTCGCTTTGGGCGATGGCTGCATACGTCGGGTTTGGCTCCAGCGATTCACGGCGAGGAGTGCTTTCATCGAGTAGTTCTTCTAGTGAGTAGGTCGGTGGTGATTCGGTGACGCAGGAGTCTGTTCTTGCCATGCAGCTTACGATGTTTCTTGTGCCTTGTAGAGTTTGTGTCGTCGTTGTTATTGAAGATTGCACTTGGTTGGAGGGATGTGGCTGTGTGGAGGCCACCTGACTGCTTGAAGGTTGAAGCTGGCGTCGCGGTGGTGTTGACTGCTGCTGATTTGGGCATTGGATACGGGTGTCACCAGATGTTCGGCAAAGATGACAAAATGGTGGTACGTGTCTTCGTGCTTGGTGCTCGTTTTGTTCGTTGTTGTTGTTGTAGCGCCGTTGAGTGTGAAAGGCGAATTCCAGTTCTAACTCTTTTTTTCTTGTGACGTTCTTCGTGCAGGTCCATGTCTTGTTGCTCGGCGTGGATTTCGACGCAGAGAGCTGCTTCGGAGATTTTTCCTTGGGCTCGGAGGATGGCTCGTGTGGAGCGCCACTGAGGACCGAGGCCAGTGATGATGACAGTGACGAAGGCTTCTTCGGATATTGATCCACCACATAAAAGGAGTTTGTCGCGCAGACCATGACAGAGACTGATATCCGCCATTCCTTTTTCGCCGGGTTTCATTTCCAATGTTGTAAGTGTCGGAATCAACAGACAGGAATGACTGTACTAGCACAAAGTTGGATACAAGTAGGAAACCCTAATCTAGTGTACCCCCTAAGGTGTAACCCACTACAGCCTACAATCATATAAACATATAATGTTTGACACACCCCCATAGGCGCAGTGGGAGACAACCACAGGGTCACGAGACCAGTCAAAGCAAAGAAAGGCAAGCTCAGGGTGGATCTCAAGGATTCCACACAAATTCCGAGCGCAAGCAAGCGGTCACAAGACCAGTCCACATGCAGGTTTATAATAGAGCAAGAGATACAGTGATCACAACCTAGCAAGAGTGAACATGCAGGTATACATATAGATATAGTGATCACAGTACAAGCAAGGTCAAGAAGTAAGCAAATGAGGTCCAGTAGGCACAAGGCCTAGCAGAGTGCAGAAGCGCTGATGGTCACAAGGCTGAAGCGCCTTGGTGAACACATCAGCAGTGTTGGCCTCAGTGGCCACGTGACGAATACAAAGCTGACCGCGCTGCTGCAGCTCTCGAGCAAGGAAGTACCGCAGGGCGATGTGCTTCATTCTGTGCTCCAGTCTGTGCTCCTCACACAAGGCAATGGCAGCCTTGTTGTCGACGTACAGCACTGGAGGAGAACGAGGCCGCTCTCCCAGGTCGGTCAGCAGGTAGGTCAGCCAGCGTAGCTCCTGGGCAGCCATGGCTGTGGCGTAGATCTCAGCCTCACAACTGGAGCTGAGAACAGAAGAAGAGCGTGTAGAACGCCAAGAAACTGAGCCAGAGCCAAGGCTGAAGGTGTAACCCTGAGACGACCGCTGAGTAGCCTGGTCGTCAGCCCAAGAGGCGTCTGAGTGTCCTGTGAGTACAACTCGGTCTCGCCCTCCAAGCACTAGCCCCATGCCCGACGTACTGCACAAGTAGCGCAACACCCTCTTAGCGGCATCCATGTGCTCCTTCCTGTGACGGCCAGGAGCGACATAGCGTGCAAGGATGCTAAGAGGGTATGCCAGGTCAGGTCGAGTGCAGGTCATCAGGTACATGAGGCAACCCACAAGCTCTGGATACGGGCCACTCGGCTCTACGGACTCATCCGAAGGCAGAGCTGAGAGCGAGTGACCGGTAGGCAGAGGAGTGGACTGAGGCGAGGAGTACGTGAAGCGGAAGCGCTGAAGGATCTGCTGCACCATGTGTGACTGAGTCAAGGTGATGGTGCGCCGTGCTCTGTCCCGGGTGATCCGCAAGCCAAGATAGCTCGTCAGTTCCCCCAGGTCTGTGCACGTGTGTCTCCTCTGCAGCTCCGACTTCACGTGGGCGAGTGCCGCGGTGTCAGCAGTGGCAAAGACCAGGTCGTCGACGTAAACGAGGATGTAGAACGGCGGCAGTGAGGTGTCTGTGCGTAGAAACAGTGACGGGTCAGCAGTAGAGGGAGCGAACCCTAGAGCCGCAAGTGTCGTCCTCAGTGTGTCGTGCCACTCACACGGTGCCTGGCGGAGACCGTAGACTGGCCGCTGGAGCCTCCACTGGGTACCAGGAGGAACCGACCCAGTGAAACCAGGAGGGCGACGCAGCCAGATCTCCTCGTGCAGGCTGCCCTGTAAGAAGGCAGTGCTGAAGTCAAGTGAGTGAAGCTCGTAGTCGCGCTGAGCGGCTATGTGCAGCAGCACCCGAAGAGTGGTCATCTTCGGGGTGGGGGAGAAGGTCTGAAAGAAGTCAACTCCCTCTCGCTGGCTGAAGCCTCGAGCAACGTAGCGCGCCTTGAAGACAGGAGGAGAACCCGGCGGCCGTTTCACCCTGAAAATCCGCATGCCACTGACGATGTTCGCCCCAGGAGGGGGAACCTCGTCGACGTAGGTGCGTGTGGACTTCCAGGAAGCCATCTCTGCGTCCATGGCTGTCTGCCACTGAGAGGAGTAGGGACCCGCCATCGCCTCAGCATAAGAGCGCGGGGTCGGGATGTCAGGAGCATCCGGGTCTCCCTCAGGGGCAACTAGTAAGGACACGAGACGGGGCAAAACAGCAGCAAGGCACTGGAACTCCTCCTGTCTGTCCTCAAGGACGTCCGTGCCAAGAGCACACTCACCCCCGACGGACGGAGGACAGACAGACTCAGACTCAGACTCAGCGACAAGGCTAGCAGCGTAGTCTAGACGACACCGGGCAGCAAAGTCAACCAGCTCAGCGACCAGCGCAGACGCAGCAGAGGACTCAAAGGTAGGGTCAGTGACAACAGTAGCGAGGAGACGCGTGATAGTGGGACTGGCAGCACGACGGGAGTCAGACTCCGGGTCAGGAAGAGTAGGAAGAGAGGAAGCGGGAGGAGACGGTAGCGGGACACGCTGAGGAGCAGTGGAGGGACGCAGAGTCATGTAGTGAGTGCCAGGGACAGGAGGAGGACGCTCACGTGGGACACGACGACCAGTGCGAGCAGTACGAACAGGCGACGCAGGACGAGACTCAAGCTCACGACGCTCTGTAAGACCTCCCGTGGGACCAGTGTAAGGAGAGGGACAAGGGAGAGGCGAGGCAGGCGGTAACTGTGACTGCGGCGGGACAGGCGGAGGACACTCTACGGAGGGAGGAGGACAAGGAGGAGGAGTCTGACCAAGAACCTGCTGAAGGAGCGGTACGAAGTATGGTCGCGGCCGCGCAGCGTCTCCAGAACGAGCAGAGACACCAGCAGCAGGGTCCTCAGTACCCGCAGTAGCTCCAACGTCCGGGTCCTCAGCACCAGCAGCAGCTCCACCGCCCGGGTCCTCAGCACCAGGAGCAGCTCCAACGCCCGGGTCCTCAGCACCAGCAGCAGCTCCACCGCCTGGGTCCTCAGCACCAGCAGCAGTGCCACCGCCCGGGTCCTCAGCACCAGCAGCAGCTCCAACGCCCGGGTCCTCAGTACCAGCAGCAGCGCCACCCCCAGGGTCCGCAGCACTAGGAGCACCACTCCGAAGACTGCAGCGCCGCGCGTACCACTCTCGGATCTGCTGAATGGGGGGGAGCTCCTGGGTAGGAGGGGAAGTACTGGTACGAGCTCCAGCAGCACCTCTCCAGAGGCGGCAGTACTGCAGGTACCTCTCCTGCAGCTGCTGGGAGGAGAGGGCTCCTCCAGGTGTAGCACGCTCAGGCTCAGCACCTCCAGACACAGCACCCCCAGACGCAGCACCCCCAGGCTCAGCACCTCCAGACTCCGCACCTCCAGGCTCCGCACCCCCAGACTCAGCACGGTCAGGCTCAGCACCCCCAGGCTCAGCACCCCCAGACGCAGCACCCCCAGACGCAGCACCTCCAGGCTCAGCACCTCCAGACTCCGCACCCCCAGGCTCAGCACCTCCAGGCTCCGCACCCCCAGGCTCAGCACCCTCAGACTCCTCACGGTCAGGCTCAGTACCCCCAGCAGGACGAGAGTCAACAGCTACCTCGACAGGCTCAACCGGGTCTACCTGGGACACACCTGAGGGAGCGGCACCCTGAGGGGGGAGGGGGTCTGGTACCTCAGCACCTGGAGCGAGGAAGAGAGGCGGGGGGGGGAGCGGGGCAGTGCGGTAGGGGAAGAGGCGGTAGTAGGGGACGGACTCGTCAAAAGTGACGTCCTGAGAGGCCAGGACACGACGCGAGGTGGCGTGGTAGAACTGCCAACCAGGCGCGTCCGGGACAAAGCCAAGGAAGACACAGGGGACAGCTCGACGGGAGAGCTTGTCCGCGGACGTATCGCGAACAAAAGCTCGAGATCCCCAGACCCGAAAACGCGACGCATCGCCAGCCTCTCCCGTCCAACGCAGTGTCGGAGAAGTCTCCGGTAAGGAGACACGGGGCCAGAGGTTGAGCTGATGCGCAGCGTATCGGACTGCAAACGGCCACAGAAAGTGGGGGGCAGCCGCATGAACCAAGGAGGTACGAGCGACCTCCATGACCAAGCCAATGCGGCGCTCAGCAACCCCATTCTGCTGTGGAGAGGCCGGAAGCGTGAACGACTGCTCAATGCCCTCCTGCTGACAGAAGGCCTCCAAGAGGCCAGAGGAAAACTCCCCACCTCTGTCAGAGTGCAGACGCAGGACAGGGAAGTCGGAGCGGAAACGCTCACTGAGCTGGAGACGAGATCTGCGGATCCAAGGGATCAAGACATCAGGGACGTCACCCTTGGTGCGCAAGGGGAAGACCGTGGTGTAGCGCGAGAAGTCGTCAACAACAATCAGGAAGTACCTCTCCTGACCCTGACCACGGACGCGGGCTGGGCCCCACACGTCCATGTGGAGCGTCTGCAAAGGAGCAGTCGTCGGGGGGAAGGAGGAGGAGTGAGGAGCGGCGCGCTGCCGCCCCTCGACACAGGGAAGACAGGGAGGAGCAGGCGAGGGTGGGAGGGGAGGGAGAACCCTGGGAAGACCAGCAACAAGGTCCCGTTTGTGCATGGCCCGAAGGCGCTGCACAGACGGGTGACCAAGGCGGTGGTGCCAGAGGACAGTCTCATGCGCCAGAGAGCGACACGAGCAGGGGGCGGACAGCTGACCTGACGCAGACGCAGACGCGGACGCAGCTACCTGAGGGGACTCAGTGGTCAGTGTGTACAGGTCCGACCCCGGCTGCCGAGTGAAGGTAGCCAGGTGACGGCCCGTCCGAGCACACGTGAAGTGGCTCACACGCTCGTAAGCAGGGGTGAACTGGTGAACACCCCCGTCCTGGAGCGCACTACCTGCCACCAAGTTCGTAGAGAACGAGGGGAGGTAGAGGCCTGACAGTGTGCCTGACGGGACCGCAGGACAAGGAAGGACAGTGGAGGAGGTCGCAACGACCGGACCCCCTGAGGGGTCAGCTAGGGAGACAGCAACTGGCCGAGCAAGCGGCTCAAGGGCAGTGCGGTCACGAAAGAAACAGCGAGAAGCACCTGAGTCCAGTGTGAAGGTGTGCAGTGCTGCAGTCGACTCAGTACCAGAGGGCACGGACTCACTAGCACCTAGAGCAGCAGCCTCACCAGGACCTGGGGCAGCAGACTCACTAGCACCTAGAGCGGCAGCCGGACTGGCCTGAATGCCCAGGTCGGGCGGAACACGCAAGTACTGAGCACCCTCTCCACTAGTAAACATCGCATACATGGCAGTGAGAATAGCATCAAAGTCTAAAGCCCAGATATCAACTCCCTTCTTCTCCAGATCAGCAAAGCGGGGCAGCTCAGTGGCATCAGGAAACTGGGCACGCCACGCATCAGTAAGGCGCGCGAAACAGCGCTGTGTGGGATGCGGCCTCCCACACTGCTGGCCAGTGCCGTCACCAGTGCGAATGACGTACTTGAGGTAAAGCCACGCTGCGCATACCACTCACGGGCGGCCTGAAGCGACGGGGCGGGCTGCTGACTCTGGCCACCGCCAGCGCCTCCACGACCACCACTGCCGCCGCCACCGCCTCGGCCACCTCCACCCCTGCCGCTGCCACGACCACCTCCGCCTCCGCTGCCGCCTCCACCCCTGCCGCCACTCCCGCCGCTGCTGTCACCACCCCCACTGCCGCCACTAGCCTCCCCAGCCGCTCCTCCACTCCCACCGCCTCCACCCCCACCTCCTCCGCCGCCACCTCCACCCTTGCCCCCTTTGCTCTTGCGGCGCCCGCTCGAAGCAGACGCGGCCCCGACCTTCTCAGCACCAAGGAGGTCGACAGCAGCAGCAGAGGCGACAGAGGGGAGGAGAGGGGAAGGGGAACACCCCTCAAAGAACGGGGTGCGGGGGTCGCCACGAGAGGTGCCTACAGCGACGATGCTCGCCTCAGCTGCAAGCAGTTCCTTCTCGAGGAGGGCAATGGTGAGTTCAGTGGGGGAGCGAGAGAGGAAGTGGTCCCTGACTGTGCGCAGGGAGTCGGGGAGGCGGGTGACTATGTGGTAGAGAGTGATCCAGAGCGGGGGGGGGGTTGCTGGTGAGGAACTCGTCAGGCATAGCAGCGCGAAAGCGGGCCTCACTGGTCTTAAGGTGGGTGATGAGGTCAGCAACTGTCTGAAAGGAGGCCAGGTCGGGGAACAGGTAGGGGAGAGTGAGGCGGCCTAGTGTGGCAGAAGCGGGGGAGGAGTAGCGAGCGACTACAGCAGTGTACAGGTCCTTAGCAGTTTTGTGCTGGCCAAAGTGCTCGCGCTCGTCGATCGGTAGGGAGTTACGAATAGCGAAGCGAGCGTGGGCGTCACGAGTCTGCCACTGTGAGCGCTGAGTGCTGTCAGCAGTGGTAGGAGGGGCAGTAGCGTTGCCTAGGGCGTGATCGTACAGTGAAACGTCCTCCTTAGCAGTGAGCTGTAGAAAGAGGTGGAGGTCATCGAGCCAGGTTTCGAACTTCACTGGACGGCCCTCAGCATCGAAAGTAAGTACAGTAGGAGTAGCCATAGCGGCAGTAGCAGTAGCGGTAGAAACAGTAAGAATGAGGCCGCAGGGAAGCTGTGGGCAGTGTCAGCACACGGGCGGCAGCAGCTGATGCGCACGGGCAGGAGCGGCAGTGGGCGCAGTAGCGGCGGCCGCAGTGGGAGCGAGTGCAGCAGCGGCAGCGGAAGCAGGCGCAACAGGAGCGCACGTGCAGTAGCGGCCGCGGCGCACGAGCGGGAGCGGCTGCGGGCGACGCGCAGGCGGTAGCTGCAGCGGCGGGCCCGTGGTAGCGGCAGCTGCAGCGGGCGACGAGCAGGCGGCAGCTGCAGCGGGCGACGAGCGGGCGGCAGCAGCAGCGGGCGACGAGCGGGCGGCAGCTGCAGCGTGCGACGAGCGGGCGGCAGCAGCAGCGGGCGACGAGCGGGCGGCAGCTGCAGCGGGCGACGAGCGGGCAGGCGCTGCAGCGGGCGACGAGCGGGCGGCAGCAGCAGCGAGCGACGAGCGGGCGGCAGCTGCAGCGAGCGACGAGCGGGCGGCAGCAGCAGCGGGCGACGAGCGGGCGGCAGCTGCAGCGGGCGACGAGCGGGCGGCAGCAGCAGCGAGCGACGAGCGGGCGGCAGCTGCAGCGAGCGACGAGCGGGCGGCAGCAGCAGCGGGCGACGAGCGGGCGGCAGCTGCAGCGGGCGACGAGCGGGCGGGCGCTGCAGCGGGCGGGCGGCAATGTGCAGGCCGGCGGGGCCGCTGCGGGCTGCGCTATAGCGGTGCGAGCGGCGCACGGGCGGCGAGCCGGTCGCGCTCAAAAGAAATCAGCCGCGCGCGGGCAGCTAGCGGGTCGCGCGCGGTTAAAAAATAGAAAACGAGCCGCGCGCGATTGGCTGGCGGGCTGCGTGCGCGCAGTAGGTAGGAGGCGCACTGAGGCGCGTAGGCGCACGAGGGCGCACGGTAGGTAGGTAGGTAGGTAGGTAGGTAGGTAGGTAGGTAGGTAGCGGTGGGCCCTAAGAACGGTCCTAGCGAAGGACCTGCTCTGAAACCATGTCGGAATCAACAGACAGGAATGACTGTACTAGCACAAAGTTGGATACAAGTAGGAAACCCTAATCTAGTGTACCCCCTAAGGTGTAACCCACTACAGCCTACAATCATATAAACATATAATGTTTGACAGTAAGTTGTGCTATGGGACGAATCTGAATAACGAGGCCCATTGCCTGATGCATGTTCTTCAAGTGGCTGTACGCGAGCTCGACGGAGTTACCGTATCCATGATAAGACCAGATATTCTGCTACTCATTTGGCGTTATGTTTCGCAGGAGTATTGTGTACGCCATAAGCGACTGATACGTGTACTGCTGCTTGTCGTACTGTGTCCCGTGCGTTGGGTATGGTAGGAAACCGTCGATGTATCCAAGGATTTGCGCGCCTTCCATCATCAGCTCGAATTCGAACGACCAGGTAGAGAAGTCATTGCCATCGAATGGTGTTAACGTTTGCAGTTTCAGAACGTGTGCAATCTGTGACTGCATCTAAAGCGCATCCAGTGTCTTTATTTCTTGTCCAGGTGGAACCCAGTTCGCCATGAAGCTGATGGAGCTGCGTTCAGGCTTGTACGGAGCAAAGGTAGGTCGCTGTGGATTTCCGCGTGCAAAAGATTAGCCATCGAGACTCTTGGGAGTTATGCCGTTGTTGTGGTCGCTGTTGTTTAATCGCGCAGGTGCTGCTTGCTGATGTTGTTCGTAGAACGACATAAAGGAAAAGAACTTCTCCATCATGTTCGGGTCGAAGCCGGTTGCTTGGTTTGCAGGCATTTGAGTAGATTTTGCAGCTGGTCTTGTTGCCATACCTCCCTCTGTCTGCAGTCCAAAGGCTGGAGGTGGAGTTGGAGTAGTGCCAGGAGATCTGTTAGAGGAGCTCCTTTCCTTCTGTGTTGCCATGGCTTCTATGTTGTAGGAGTTTAAACTAAGTTGAGTCTTGCCTCGTTGGTTCTCATACCATGTTGGGCTGAGAAAAGCCCTTAGGATCGTTGCAAGGGCAAGACTCTGAGTAGAGATGTAATTTTGGAAGCGTTCTTAGTGAACTTGATTGAACCACCGTGCACTGGTGTGTGAGAACAAGATGTGTTGATTATAGCAAAGTAACAAAACGCTTTTATAAGATTACAAAGAATATGAAAAGGTGCAACTATTTTACTGTTGCTGTTGCGGTTCGATACAGCGACGACTCGCGCAACTGCTCAATTGCGAATTAGTTGTGTGTCCTTGTTGTCGCGCTGCTTTTCGGCGAGTCAAAGGTCATCGACCTTTGACCTTCGCTTAACCTCTTGCTGTTACATTTTGTAAACCTCTTCTGTTGACTCAGTGTTGCTTCGTTGTAGTTCACCTCCCTTATGGTTTCGGTGTTTCGACACATCAGAAGCGCGGACTATATGTTTCCAACACCATCATCGCTCGAATAGAAGATATACAGTACAACTGTTACAATTAGGGAAACGAGATTGTTCACTCCTAACCGCAGCAAGTGAAGCACACTGTATCAAGGCCAAATGCGAAGAGGCAGAATGACGTGAAGAGTCGCGTACGGCTGTAGAGCATCTGGACCGTCGGAGCAGACGACATCAAGCAGCTGCAGGAACGAGGGAATTGGCGGGAACAGTTTCGTAACTGTTCGAGTCGCACGGTTGGATTGAATTTGAATAACTGAATGTACCCCTTAGAGCACATGGCTAGATAGGTCGTTTTGTATTCCCATGTACTACTATATATATGCTTGTGTTCGCATGTTTTAATTATCTCAAACATGAGGTGATCCTAGGGTCGATCAACATCTGATTGCAGCATGGTATGAGAGCGACTCGGGAATCCTTCGCGCCGCCACCTCTAAAACCTTCTGCGAACGAAAGGTGGCGTCCGGCACACGATCACGTGTAAGGATGGCCGGAGAATCTGGTGGTCAGACGAATCTAACCGCTGAAGCGGAGTCCAACCTGGCTGCGACAAACGAGGAAACGACGACGATTGGAACCGCCGTCCTCGCACAACTGCTTCAGCGACTCACCAGCTTGGAGCAAGGACTCCAAACATTACGGAATGGCGATGTGGGAACATCTTCCCAACCCTAGACTAATTCTGAAAACACCCAAGTTGTCTTTTCATCAAAATCCTTACACTAAAAAATGTCATAAAAAAATATTCGGGTGTTTTGTAGCTTTTCCCGATGAGTAGACCCCCCCCCCCCCCCCACCCCTCTTTTGTTTAATGTAGTTATCATAACACCCTAGGGTGGTATGTCCAGGTGATTACGGTGTAAATTATAAAGACATGCATGTGTTTTGACGACATATACTTTTATACGTGAAGCTTCGAGCTGGAGCTTTTGTTGCAGAATGCGCGGATATTTCATTACTTCGATTGGAGCTACTCGGGACCAACTGAAGATACCACCGACGCCAGGGCGTACGGCGTCCTGCTGCGAAACATGTCGCCTCACAGAACCTAAGCATTCGCTCGTACAAGACATCGTCAGCTCTAGCCCTCGATGCCTGGCGACACCTGAACAGCATGTACTATTTAAAATACTTAGTTTCTTCGAGCCGCTTGCTCCAGCAGCTGCTGGAGACAAAAATGGCCCTTGGGGAGAAGGCCAACAACTGCATTCATCGTTGTTGGAGCTTACGCAATCAAATCTTGAAACTGGAGAGCACGACCTCGGAGGTGATTTTTGTAAACATCGTGCTCCAAGGGCTCGGGCCAGAGTGGCGGCCCTATAAGGCGCTTCTCCGACTGCAGGGGGTTATCTCGGAAGCCGCCTTATGCGTCGCCCTTCTCATCGAACAGAGCGGCTCATATGGATCAGCAGCGACCAGCGCCGCGACGAAACCGGGAACGCCTTGCTTTCTACGCGGAGAGAAAAAAGAAGAACGAAGGCCGTGACGCCTTTACTGCAAAATCCCAATCTCGCCCTCGCCAAACCAATCCAAGAACCTGGTCCGGCTGACAAGACGCACGAAACGACATGTGTCCGGCCCAGTGGTATCAACCCCCATCGTGCAATCTGAACCCAGCGGTTCAGCATCAGCAGCAGCATCCGTCACCACCTGCTCCAGCCCGCAACGTCATGGAAAATATAGCCATGACAAGCAGATTCTGCCGTCGCCGCGTGCGCTCGCCGTCACCAGAGCCAGCACGCCATGGAATCGAGGCATTCACGGATAACAATCCGTTCAGCACTCGCCACAACATTAGCGACGGCGACAACCAGGACTAAAATTTCCCGGTCCCGCTGCGTAAAAGCCTCTTGCATGTACCTGATTCGCGGGTGGCACCGAGGCGATGTTGGAGGCGACGGGGGGCGATAAGGTCACGATCTGACGGGCTCGCGGGGGCTGTTCTAGGTCGTGACGTGGGGGGAACCGCGGGGGTCCCTTCCTAGCGCGATCTAGCGGGCCCACTGGGGCCGTTCTAGGTTGTGACATGAGGGGGGGGGGGGGGGGGGGGAGGGGTCCCTTCCTAGCACGATCTAGCGGGTCCACGAGGGCTGTTTTAGGTCGTGACGGGTGACGGACGGGGCTAGCGGGCTAACGGGATCGACGGGGGGTGGAGGGGGGGGGGGGGGGGGGGGGGGGGGGGGGGGGGGGGGGGGGCTACGGGTGACGAGGCGCTACGGGCTAGGTCAGGGTATGGGGCGGTGGGCCCATAGGATCATATCGCTCTATACCATGTCAAAGCAACTAGTGAAAGAATTAGTAGAAATAAGCAGTACAAGGGAGCATATAGCAAACCTTAAAGGGATTATACCCTCTACAGCATAAACTAGACTAAACTAACAAACTATAATAACTATAGTTAGAGAGAAGCACGCTCTCAATAAGAAGCATCAGGATGCTGTTGATGACAAACCGGTGGCGAAGTAAAGAAGGTCGCACAAAGATGCATCGCCGAGTACGAAAACGCCAACAGCAAAACAGCTCGTTTGAAACAATACATGCCATGCGTGTTGTACATCTGCAGGTCCGACTCCCCCATCTCCAT